TGTGTCAACTCATGTAGTTGCCTATAACAAATTATTAATAAAGATAAAGGCAAAACCTCACCTTAATACCAAAAAAAAAAATAATAATTAATAAATAAAACTTTATTATGAAGAAAATATGCATCTAATAGTTGTTCTAATGTTTTGCATTGAAGAATACTATGAAAATTTTTAACATAATAATTAGTAAAAAGTGAAAGATGAGTTTTTAAAGCGTTAGAATCAGATGATTAATTAAATTCTAATAAAATATATTAAAAAGAAATGCTAAAAGAAGTTTGTTATAATTTTTTTATTTTAAGTGGCAAAAAATTTCTACAACAAAATATTGTTTCAAGATACTCATTTCATTTTCTAGCTTTAAATAATGCTGCATATATATTAATAGCTGCTAAAACAATATTATCAAGTAAGTCTATAAATGTTTGATATTCTAAATCTTTAAAATTATTTATACAAATTATAATAGTTCATTTAATTCAAAGCTATCCTATATAAGCAAGATAAAACAGTAAATCAAATCATTATATTTAGGCTTTTCTGCAAGTTCTTTATTTTTCCAAATTGATTTAAAAAGTTTGCTAAAAAACTTGTAATATACTAATACTGCTGTTTGACATGAGTTTAAAAATACATATAAGGGGTGTGGCGACCTAGTGAAGTGGTCAGGTTGTTAACCCCCAAGTAGTAAATTGGGTGTTCAAATCCCATTGACAGTGAAAATTTGAATAATCACCTATGTAATATTCATATTATGGCAACTGTTACTAACGATTAGGTTAGGATACCTGTAATGATGATCGCACCAGTATGACTGGCAGGTCATGGGGCATCTGTGCAGTGTTGGAGTTATACAGAGAAATGCAAACTGACAAATCAGGTGATGCAAATACTAGATAAGTCCTTGTGGCTATGTAAATCTGTTGAAATTAGGTAACAAGAAGTCCATTTGGGAAAACCCAAGTAGAGAGATAGCTGGATCTTTAATAGCCCTACTGTAAAGGCTAGCTTGGGAAAATAGATACCCAGGTCTAGTACCCGGTTCTAGTAGCCCAACAGACAAGAACCTCTAGGTTGAGAGTCTCGGAGGTACCACCAACCAGACCACTGAAATGAACCAGAAGATATCAGGCCAACCTGATATACTGATGGACTGGTTGTAGTCCTACACAGGCTATATAGATTGGAAGTTTGGTAAAAGGGCAGAAGAAAAGGCAGAGATATACTAAAGTACTGGAGTTATGCTATAAAGTAGATGCTAGGGTCTAAGTGAACTCTACAAGAGCATAGTAGTTTAATGATTAGCCCTGGCCACAAGTGTTGGTTCTGCCATAGCAATATCTATTAGCTGTAAAAATAGGTACAGAAGGCTCTAAGGGGTTTACCTCAAGAATAAATTAGTTCTAAGGTTGAGAACGATAATCTGGTACATCTGAGGTGACCAGTGATGTTAACACATATTACAGGTTCAGAGGGTTTAAAGTGAAACATCCAAGCAAGAGTGTTAAGTACAGCAATTGGTAATGAACCTTTGGGTAGTCTCCTTAAATAGGTAATATAAAAAAGTTACACATGTAGCCAATTGTATGCTCTCCTGTAGTGGTTCATTGAACCACAATACTGATAAGTGAATAATAAAAGTCAAAAGACCAAAGAGGTCACCTTAATACCAAAAAAAAAAAAAAGATACATATAATGGGCCAAGCATAGGAATAAATTGTAAAATTAGATCAGGTATCAAGGTTTGATTTCCAAGTATCAATTTGTGAACAATAGTATGACAAATATAAAGCTGTCTAAGAAAGTTAGCAGAAACTAATACAATAAAAGAGTTATGATATTGCCTAATAGCTATAACAGATATAAGTATTAATGGCTTTTAAGTAATCATTTATAGAATAAAAATCTAAGAGAATTAAATCAACAAGCTTCACTTCTTCATTGCTTATTCTTCTTTGCATTCTGCTATATCTGAATCATATATATGTATTGTTAAACTGTTAATTAATATATCATCAAATAAGTTTGTTATTTCTTAAATATTGTTTCACACCTTTTTTTAATTAGTATAACTTGTACCAAAAGCTTGCATATATCCTGTATAAAGCTTTGAAATTATAATATTAGCATTAATAAATTTATGATTATGAATATTAAACTCTGTCAATAAATAATATGAAATTGTTACACAATATTTTAATAAATTAACACAAATAGTAGCTATGTAATTTATTAAATAAAGTGAAGTCATATTGGGCATTCATTTTTCATATATATCATAATAGTCACAAATATTCAAAAATGCATATATTTTAACTTTAATTTAAAAAATTTTATTAAAAAATATATTAAATACACAATATTTAAAATATTATACAATAGAATACCTGATTTTGAAAATATATTTTGATAACTAAATTTTGTGCTTTTAATAATTTACACTTTTTTGCTGCAATAACTCTATATAATGCAGTAATGCTTAAAGTAGCCAATGTATCAATTTCTTGTTTTAACAACCTCATTGTTATTAAACTAATACTAGCATCTACTTAAAATAAAAAAGTATACAAAATAATTATTATAGTACTAAAAAAAATATTAATAATTTTATTTAATATTTACCTTTATTAAATTAACAAACTTATTATATATTCTAGAAAATTCATAGCAAATACTAACAGTTCTATATTTGTTAACTTTGCTATTCTTTTCTTTTGAACTAGTTATTTCAACTATTACATTAAAAAAAGATTTTAAATTCAGATTATAATTATTCAATATTGTTATAAAATTATTAGAATTATATAAAACATCTTTGTGCTGTTAGTATTGATAATTATACAAAGCATTGATAAGAGCTTTATTATAATAATACAACATACTTTTAAATTTTTCAGAATCTATTAATTAAAACTTAATATAAGAAACTATATATTTATTAGCATAATAAATGCAATTGCTACTTCTAAGATTATGATGTCCTTCACTATTTGTAGGCTATTTTTAGAGAAGAATAATTACAATAGGTGGCCAGTAAAGCCTATTGTAGTGAAAGACTAAGAATATGTCAACTAGACCTAACATACCAGGCAGATTATGATATCCTCCACAGCTGTGCAAGCTAAGCTTAAAATAGTGAGTAACTCTGTAGAAAACAATACAAATAGTATCTCTATTTCCAATGCTTTATCTCCTACTAAGATAGATAAATATTATATCAAATTCTTAAAACAACACAACCTATCTCAAATTATTAAACCTGTTATATTCAAAAAATTCATCCAACATCTACATCTAAATAACTTTTACAATCCAATAAAAATATCTATTAATTTTAAAAAAACAGAATCATATATCTATTTAAAAACTACAGATCAAATACTACTAAATTATACAAAAATAAATTCTTCTCTTTATAGTACATATGATCATTTACCATTACTAACATCTTTTAATTGGACAATTCTTAACAAAAACTCTACTGATCTCTTTACATCCAATCAACTAATCCATTCAAACATTACTACAACACACTATCTTATTCTATTAATAATTACATCTAAACATACTTCCATCTTAATTAAAATTAGGCCAATAAATATAAATAGTCTCTCTTAACCCAACAAAAAACTTTTCTTAATAGAACTCTTACAAGAAAACAACTTTGATATTTTTGGACTCTCTGAAACACATTTATCCTATAAAGAAAGAAAAAGCTTTAATAACCAAATTCAAAATTATACCAGTTTCTGAAGCTTATATACAAATTTTCACCAAGCTGGTGTTGGTATCTTTGTATATAAAAAAATTTCTAAATATATTGCCAAATCTCATGATTACAATAGTCACATAATTGGACTTGATTTCTATTTCAAAAACACATCTATTAGACTTCTTCAAATATATTTTCCAATTTATAAAAAAAAACAAATTTATTAAGAAATTCAAGACCACTTAATTTTTCTAATCCAAAATAATAAATATAAGCTAATTATTATAGTAAACTTAAACAATGTCCCAAATCCAAGAATTGACAGATCTTTTTCAAAAAAATCATCAATTTCAAAAAGCCAAATAATTCAATATTTAATTAGCTTCTAATTTAATGACATTTACTACATCTTCTATCTTAATAAATCACATTTCACTTTTAGTTATAACAACATTCAAAGCTGAATTGATCAAATATGGACCAACTTATCTATTACTAATATTAACTATATAGAAATTCTTTCAATTGGTACAATTAAATCTAATCATCAAATTATAACTCTTGAAATCTTAATTTTATAATCAATAAACACAAATCTTACAAATAATATAAATATAAAGTTTTTCTCTAAAAAAACTATACTAAAAAAATCTTGAAAACTATAATGAACAAACTACCAAAAATCTTCAACACTTATCTTCAATAATCTTATCAATTTCAAACTAAAACCAACTTAATACCACATGGATCAAAATTCATAAAACATTAATTAAGGCCTCTACTAAATATATTCTTTTTAAAAAAATTAAAACTATTAAAGAAATTCATGATTCTCTATCATCAAAACACTTACCACTTTTTTTTCATTACAAAGAAATCCAATTTCTTAAAAATCATACAAACTTAACTAACTTTAATATATTACTTACCAACTACTAGTGTTACGGCCTAAACTCTTTACCGAAGTTTGAAATGTTTCAGCTTTTGAGTTTCAGTTTTGCCCCAAATCCGAAACTGGGCAAAACGTCTGTAACTGGGCGAAATATCCGAAACTGGGCAAAATGTCCAAAACTAGGTGAAATGTCTAAAACTGGGCGAAACTTCCGAAACTGGCGAAACCTCCAAAACTGGGCAAAACCTCTGAAATGTCTGAAACTGGGCGAAACTTGATCAAAATTAACATATTATGTAATGCAGACTTCTATGCAATGATTTTTTTAAAGTCACATGACAGCTGCATTTAATATCGACCAATGGAATTTCTAAAAATCCTATTGGTCAATATTAGGTGCAGTGATCATGTGACTTTTGAAAATTTCATTGGTCAATTTTATGTATGACAGTCACATGACATTTAGAAATTCCATTAGTCAAATTTAAGTGCAGAGGTCACATAACTTTTAAAATCATCGTATCGAAGTCTGAGTCACATGATATGTTAATTTTGATAGAGATAAGATCACGTTTCGCCTAGTTTTGCCCAGTTTCGCCCAGTTTCAGATGTTTCACCTAGTTTCGGACATTTTGCCCAGTTTCAGACGTTTCGCCCAGTTTCGGACCTGGCACCTTGGGTGAAACTAGGTTTCGGAGGTTTTGGAAGTTTCACCTGGCCGAAAGTTTCGGTTTAGGCCATAACACTACCAACTACCAATCAAATATTCAAATTGCATACTCTAATTAATATCACTTTTATTAATATAAATTAAAGAGAAATTTCAAATTATTAAAACTGCACTTAATCACCAATATCAACAGTCAATCTATTATGAAATTAAAGAAAAAATAGAAGAATGAAACAAATTTTTCAAAGAAACACCTAAACTTTTTTACAAAATAATACTTGAAAAATATAATAATATTTATATAGATAGACTACTTCTTAATAATAACCTTCTTACAGAACATGATGAAATACTAAATACAATTAAACATTAATTTACAGAATAATTTAAAATCAAACTTCTTGAAACTATTTCATCAACATTTGAATTCTACTCTCTTTATAAACTACATCCTAAACTTAAAATCTACACCAAAATCTTACTCATAAAATTACTAAACAAGAATGACAAAACATTATCTCCAATTTACTTAATCAAAAAGCAGCAGGCTCTTTAAAATATACTAGTTTAAATGCATAAAACATTTTTTGACTCTTTTTAAATAAATATTTTCATTTACAAAAAATCTTCTCAGACTGGAAATTTTCTAATATCTTTATAATTTCTAAAAAATCTAATTGAGACTATACACTAAATCAAGTTTATCCAATTTCTATAATAGAACTCTCAAAAAAATCTTCACTAAAATATTTACAAATCAATTAAACAGCATTATTTCTCATAACAACCTCTTATCAAATCTAAATTTTGCAGCTTCAAAAAACTCCTCTATACACCTTCTTATACAAATTCTTCATAACATAATTGAACATTATATAACCACTAACAAAGAGGCCTAAATTCTTTTCTGAGATATGTCCAAAACTTTTAATAAAATTAATATATCAAGACTCCAAGATATCTGTAAAAGAATTGGAATCCCTTTAACAGAAATCAACCTAACTACAGAACTATACTCTTATTGATTTGCTAGAGTAATTACTGCTCATGGTCTTAGTTTGCAAATGCCAATTAACTTTGGATTTGAACAAGACAAAACATACTCACTTCTCTTATAGAAAATTTATTATGACTCCATATTCTATTTTGTTTTAAAAAAATACCAAAACCATTTATTAAAAATTTTATGTCAATCTTCTATTGATGTTATAACTAATAAAACCTCCTCTTCTATAACAATTTCACCATTAGCTTTTATGAATGATACCATCTGACATTGTGAAAGTGCAAATATAATGCAAAATATTAAAATAATACCTCTGAATTATACAAATTTAATAATATAGAAATTAATACTAACAAATCAGATCTACTTCACATTAAACCTAAATATATTAAATCCAACCTCTACTCTTTCAATGAATCAACAAAATATTTTATTCAGAAAACTATAAGATGTAATTTGATATCTTGGCATTTTTTATAATACTAAAGGATCTTTAAAACCAAAACTTGCCCAAATTCAAAACAAAATCAAAAGCTGTCTAACTCTTATTCAATACAAAAAAATAACACCTTTACAAATTTCATCACCTTCAACTTAATTCTATAACCTTTATTAGAATATTTACTTCAAATTATTCTAGTTCACACAAATATACAATTTAAATTCTTCTGTCTTTTCACTATTCATTTTAAAAAAATGTTTTCTCTAGCAAAAAACACTAACAATACAATCCTTACTAACTCACTTATATTTAATTTACCAACCTTCAACAACATTATTCAAAAAGTTAGTGTAGCTAATACTGAATAAATATTTAACACAATATTAATTCTTAAAAACATTGGCATTCATTGAATTAAAGAATAGCTAACCAAAATATGATCATCTCAACTTTCATCAAATACTCTAACTAAACATTATTGAAAAATACAAAATTTTACTTTACTCTTTCATATTTCTTAACTAGCTTTAAATAACATCTTATCCTCAATTATCTTACAAATCTTATTTTTTTCCTCTTTAATACTAAAAAATACTCATATTATCTATGACATTCTTCCTATCAATTTACTCACATCTATTATCAATAGTCTTAAAAATAATAAAATCATCTTTCTTGAGCAAATTACTACTGCAAACAACAAAAATATTCTTATATAAAACAATATCTACTTATATACAAACAAACCTAATAAAAGTTGTCAACCAAAATGGTTTACTCAAATTTTATATCTAAACTAA